CTATTTTGTTTAACAGCAAGCACGAAACAGACTAACACAATGCCAGTTGAAATGAGGTCTCTGACGATCTCTCTGTGAACAAGCCATCTGAGAAAGTGGACTTTCCAGCCTCAGTCAAACCTTCAGCTGACTGCAGCCCTGGCTCATGAGAGACTCTTGGGCCCAAGACGCAGCTAAGCTACTGTTGGACTTCTTATCCTCAGAAACTGCATGAATGAATCGCTCATTGTTTGAAACTTCTGGTTTGGGTGAAGTGATTTATTGTGGCAGCAATAAGATAACTGACATAAACCACCAGTTAGGAAATTTACGTTTGCCAATGTTAAAATACATAACACTGGTGGTTAGCCTTCAGAAGGAAGCAAAAAAAATCATTAAACTTGTAAAACTTAATTTCCTACACTACTTTTATTTTCTTTCTTGTCTATCCTTAATGTGACTCCATAACATTGTCTTGTATTCTACCACCCACCCTAATTCAAAGGAACAAGAATTATAAGAGGAGATAGTGTAATAATAGTAATCTTAATAAATCAAAGGTTCTAGACAAAAAGGTATATAAGGTAAAAAATATGATATGAAAATTCATAGCAGAAAGATAGCAAATAAAACCAAAATTCAAAAACGATATTTACTGCATATCTAATGTATTTTTGAAGGAATCCCAGAAGAAACCTCTAGAAACATCTTCAGTAAAATAGAGCAGACCTCTTAAAAAAATAATTAAAACACTCCCCGCGGCCCCTCTTGCCAAGGCAGAGCTTTCATATTTTATTAGTCCTTTAATGTTGAGGCCTAGTTAGCCACAAGATAGATGAAGTTCACAATTTTCTGAATTCTGTAATATAAGCCCATGGTTTGGAAAGTGGAAAATGGGATTAACACTTTTGCTGAAGCCGCAGCAAAATTCCACAACCACTGGTATTTTTTTTTTTTTTTGAGACAGAGTCTGCGCTTTGTTGTTCCCAGGGCTAAGAGTCGTACGTGCGCATGGCGTCAGCCCTAGCTTCACAGCAACTTCAAACGCCCCTGGCTCAAGCGATCCTTCCTGCCTCAGCCTCCTGAGTAAGCTGGGACTAACAGCATGCGACACCATGCCCAGCTCATTTTTTCTGATATATATTAATTGGCCCAATTAATCTTCTTCCATTTTTTATAGTAAGAGACGGGTCTCAGCTGTTGCTCAGGCTGGTTTTCGAACTCCTGACCCTCCGAGAATCCACCCGCCTGCCTCCCAGTAGTGCTAGGATTACAGGCGTGAGCCACCGTGCCCGGCTCACAACACTGTATTTTGATGGTCCCATATTTACTGCCAGAAGAGGCTTACATCACAACCATAAGATACAAAGATTTTGATTTTCCAAAGTTTAGGTGTGAAAAGAGAAAAAAAAGTTGCAGCAAAGACTAAAGAGAATAAGTATTACACTGTAAAAATAAGAGTTTTGGCTAACTCGGCTCTAAATTTTATGTCTTATAGTGGCTCAAACTTAACAGGTCCAAATCCCCCTCTGACTAAAAAATCCTACTCGCTCCTGCCATCCCTCAGCCAGTTTCCCCATCTATGGAAGGTAAACTACTCTTTTTTGCAAAAGTCTACCATTTGTCCAAGTTACAACAGAGACACCCAACCTTAGTAGGCATGCCACGTCCTCCGCCGCGTTCCCTCATTTCTCATGTGTACTTTAACTGCCAGTTCCCGTCCAATTAAATCACAGCCACTCCACCCTCTGACTTTTTATGCCATTTAACCAAGCCACCGTCACTCTGAGTGAACTATTGTTTATGGCCGCTAACTTGTTTCCTTCTTCCAGCACAGGGCACGCAAATGTCTTTTTTAAAACATAAATTAATTCATCATCCTCTTGGCCAATTAAGATCCTTGCTATGGCTTCCGCACATGTACAAGATACCTTGGAGATACTGTGGGTTGCAGCTTCCAAATCAACACCCCAATAGAGCTGAGGTCAGCACAAATTTTCTGGTTCTAAGTGCAATATAAACAGTTATCCATTACAGTACCGTAGTGCTAATACGTGTGTGTCATCGCATGTAATCCCTAAATCATTAAGGGACACCTAGCGGATGGCTTTCAAGTTATCAGGAGTTCTAAAAAATCTAACGATCATCTGAGCCTTCAGCAAGTTGTAATCCTTTTGCTAGTGGAGGGTCTTGGCTCAATGTTGATGGCCTGCCTTGACCTGATCAGGGTGGTGGTGCTGAAAGCGCGGATGTGGGCTGTGACATTCTTAAATAAGACAACAAGGAAGTTTGCCACAATCAAATTAATTCTTTCACACATGATTTCTCTGTAACATGGCAATGCTGTTGTGAGTAGCATTTTATACACAGGAGAATATCCCTTTCAAACTTGGAGTCAGTCCCTCTCCAAACCCTGCCACTGCTTCAATCCAACTAAGTTATGGGATATCTAAAGCTTGTTGTCATTTCAACAAGTGTTCACAGCAATCTTCATCAGGAGAGTTTCCATCCAAGAAACCACTTTCTTTTGCATCCCATTAAACTACTCTCATACATTCAAGTTTGATCAATGAGATTGCAGCCACATTCAGTCACACCTGTCAGGCTCCCACATTGCTAGTTC